TTGATTCGACTAAAAACAAAACTAGGGCAGTAGATTAAAGGGCACCGACGGCAATTACACAAAAGGGCAAGGCAGGTGACTGCCGTCGGTCGGATTGGATTTTCAGGGGCAGTACGGCGATTGATAGGGGCACCGACGGCAATTGCCGTCGGTGCCGTCGGTTAATTCGAGCCCTGGCGCGAGAGGATAGCAAGTGAGGTGAGAAGGTTCAAAGACAATCAAAGAAACATTTAAACATACAAAGAGACATTTTCAAAAAATTGAATGAATCATGTTTTTATGTAGCTGCATTGTTTTATACATTCTGGATGTCCCATGATCATCTTATGAAGTAGCTGTGTTCTATGTTATGAATCAACCACTGCTAGGAGTTGTTGCTGTTTTGTTTTTGAATGTATTTCTTATCAATAAAAAATTCGGCAGCCCAGCGAAAAAAGTTTGGGAACCACTGGTCTACAGTAATAGTCCATGAGCCAGACCAGATATTGTTACCACTTGGGGTGGCAAATCCTCACTATGTTTTTTTGAAAGGGCTATATCTGTTACGTCCAGTCTGGCCGTCTAGGCACTGGACTAGACAGAACAAATCTCCGCTGCCTCAAACATCAACCAGTACGAACGGCTGCCATTGCCAGAAGAACTACTTTATTACAACAAAGTCACCCGTACCACACATAGTGGATACCACTGCGCGCGGTAACCCTGCGCGTCCTAAAGTAGGCCATAGCGTAATACATAACATACCTTTCCCCTTAGTTTAGACCATCCTAAATGTATGATATACCTTATTACAGTTCCTAAATATATCAGTATCTCTGTAATCCTCTGATAACTGAAATTGTATGCAATCTCTGTATATATATATATACATATATAATTTTGTTCGCTTGACTGAAAATAAAAGTTTTGTAAAGCTATCCAGAGTTTAACCGTCTCTGTCAATGTTACTCTACCCTAACACCAGTGACTCATTAACGAAAAATCAACATTGTCACAAAGTCACAGATTCAGACGATCTGGAGCCTTCCGGATTCTCGCCGGATTCCGACGGTCTGCTGCCACAGGACTGCGTTGAACTGCCGTCACCGGTGGTGTTCTTATCAGCATACTCGCCAGCAGTTTCCACCTGCCCCACATAGCTCTCACATGTGTTCTTATAGCACATTCCACATCCCCTTCTGCATTCAGCATGTCTCCAATATAACCGAATCTATCCAACCTCGCAACTCAATCCAGTCATCATCAACCATTAATCCGTCATGTTGATGCCCCACATCAGTATTTACATTCACACATTTTCCACAGACAAAACCAACGATATTCAGCTTCCTCAAACCTGAGCATTTCTTGTTAACCCATTTCTCACATTTGGAGCACTGAATAGAGTTGCATCCAACACCTTTCCGACAGATGGCGTATTACATGTCTGCTTTTCTTCTCCTGCTTTCTGCCTTTATCACGTATATGCTTTTCAAGTTCTGCTTTAGGCCTCTATCAGATATCTGTTTTTATTTTTCTTATCCTTCTTTCTGCCAACATTGCAGTGTTTATCACTGTGGCACTCTTCTCTGCCTGCCGCCGGCTACATGCACTTGCATAACTAGCAGTCCATTCTATACTACAGGTGGCACTCGTAGCGTGGACAGAGAGTGTGGGATTGGCACTCGTTAAGCGTGACCTGACAACAATGACACTAAGGACGCCGATGGGCACTAACCTTGTCTACACCATCCTTGAGATATTTCCCTTTACGTCTGAGAGCAAGCGCATGGGAATCATCCTAAAGGTAAGAGAGCCAGATCTCTTCCTCCAGCTCAGTTCTCCTTGATCCTTGAACTCCTTGACACGTGTGAATGCATGACCAATCAATCTTACAGATTTTTATTGTACCACGTTTATTCAACCATTAAGGCACTCTAGTCAGTCCACCCGCGTAGGAAATTTGTGGCTCGTGCCACATTGCATCAGTTGTCTGTTTTATCAACCATTTGTGAAAGGTAGTCTACATGTCTGAAAGCTATCCATCTATTAGTTGCTGAATGAGTGGCATTGTGGCAACCAGCTGTAAATGATCCTCACTCCATTAAAACTGAAGTAAACCTTTGTGATGCTGAAAATCCAATCCCTTTGTTATGTGTGATTGAGGCGATAGCTGATGCGATACCGCAGTCACCACTAGCGCTCTCTTTATTTAGGAGCATGGCACAGGTGAGATCACGTTCTACCTGAAGGGTGCCGACGTTGTCATGGCAACGATCGTGCAGTACAACGATTGGTTGGATGAGGAATGTGGCAACATGGCACGAGAGGGGCTGCGAACTCTGGTTGTCGCCAAGAAGGTGCTGACCGAGGATCAGTATGAGGATTTCGCTGTGAGTCACCTGACTGGTCGTGCGTGTGTACTGCTCACTATGTAAAACATTGCTCACAGGTCTACTACTGCTGTCAATTCTGTCACATCACCTCTGTCCCCCCTGTGCACTCACTATAGTGTCCACTCTTTCCACTAACCAGATCAGTGCACATATTGGTGAAAAGAATAATGTGTGAGTGTTCTATGACACGTTAGCCTTACTTTATACACTTGCTGTTATGCAAGGAGTAACGGTAACTATCACAATGGTCAGAAAATATTTAAACGGTTGGTAAAAACGTGAAATCCTCACTTTAAATGGAAGTGAATTCATCATGTAAACTAGTCAGCTATACTGTTATCACACCAGTTAAACCTTGCACTAAACGCTTAAAGAAACATGAAATTTTTACCACCGTGTGGTGACTTTCACGCAGTCATTTTAAAGCCAGGATTGCGAACATAATTTCCAACCAGTCTCGTGTTTTCCCCACTTTTACGACACTTACTGGTATTGCTTGAGTAACTGCGACTGTCTAGAGCAGTGGTTCCAAATGGTGCGGCGCGCCACTAGTTCGGCGCGAGACAGGGCTCGAATTAAGCAACGAGAAGGGCAAGGCAATTTTTTTAGGGCATGTGAGAAATCGCCTTGAATTTTCTCTAAAATAGAAAGGCATCAAGGCAACTCTCAAAGTTTGAGAAGGGCACCATGGCACTTTTGTAAAATAAAGGGAAACTCATAACAAATTAGTACATCAACATCGTCTTGCTTTTAATGTACAAAACAATATGCCCCCATGTAAGCTTACACCGTAACACTGACCCCTGTACCCACCTCTGCTAATGGAAGTACAGTAACACGAAATTTTACATGCCCGCTATCAGGAGCAAATAATTATCCGATGCTGTTATTATTCCCTCCTGCGACTATCGGTTTTTAGCTCATCATTGCAACTACAGCACGCACGCGCACGTGTTATGTTGATTCGATTGATGCAGTACAGCGATTGATAGGGGCACCGACGGCAATTGCCG